TCACATGTTTGTGTTGTGCTTCAAAACATCACAATTAGATGAAAAATGTGATTTTATTTTATTGGGCCATAAACAAAGTACACATAACACACTCATTTCAATATTCACCCGCATAAAAAACACACACAAAGAATAATAAAAAAAAGACACAGATTGAATCCAATAGGGAATTAAAATATATATATGAAATAAGGCACAGGATACTACTGACTAAAACTTAAATCAACTTATTTTCATCTATCCAACACACATCACAGAACTACAGACTACCACCTCTACTGCCTTGCATGACATTTTTAACATTCACATTTGTATATTGTCTGTATTAAATATTATACAAATAGTACATTTTTTATTAAAAGAATTGCTCAAATATTTTGGCCTCCATTGAGTTTCAGTATTTTAATCCAAAAAGAACTGTTGCTTATACACAAGCATAGCAATGTGTAACTTACATTAAGATTTGAATTGTCCTTAACTTGTATAAATTATTTAATGTGATATATAATGTATAATGTAAGAGAGCCTCATTACGCTCAGGCACAGCTAACATTAGCATTCCGTGCTAACGTTTACAATGTTCACCGTCTTAGTTGATCTTGTTTAGTTTAACAATTGCTAATTAGTATTGTGTGTGTGTGTGTGTGTGTGTGTGTGTGTGTGTGTGTGTGTGTGTGTGTGTGTGTGTGTGTGTGTGTGTGTGTGTGTGTGTGTGTGTGTGTGTGTGTGGTGTGTGTGTGTGTGTGTGTGTGTGTGTGTGTGTGTGTGTGTGTGTGTGTGTGTGTGTGTGTGTGTGTGTGTGTGTGGTGTGTGTGTGTGTGTGTGTGTGTGTGTGTGTGGTGTGTGTGTGTGTGTGTGTGTGTGTGTGTGTGTGTGTGTGTGTGTGTGTGGTGTGTGTGTGTGTGTGTGTGAAGTAAGAAATAGGCTGTTTTGACTACTGTGCCAGGTTTTGCCAGCATGTCAAAATGTCACAGTGGAGGCATGAAATACAAATATGACCATGATAGGGCCTCTTTAAATATCTAGACATGTATTAGACCTATGAACAATTGTTCCCATATGACAGCAGGACATGTTTGGTCTCTGCAGAGCTCTCCAGTCTGTGGCTCTGTGGTTTAAATATTGCGACAACATAAGAAAATGTCTCCAGAATATAATTGTATTGTATAGGTATTTGAGTTTTACAGCCACGTGCACGTGTCAATCCAGCCTGTGTGCTCTGACATTGTGCAGTAAGTCAGGACAAACCCCCCACCTCAAAACGCAGATAGGTTAAAGGAGATTTCTTGGCTAACCTGTCCTCTATCTAACACATCAGAACAGTTTGTCAGTTTGTGATTAAGAAAGTTGTAACCTGACAGATTATGCTTTATAGTCCTGTATATGACTGTTCCTTGAGGAGTTCACAGAATTTTAAGATGGGAGCAGCGATAAAAGCACTTTAATGACGGGGGAGATAAGATTTGCTCTGAGTGACTCATTCATAGCTCCACACTGATTCTCCCATGCTCACCCCCCCTCTGTGCTTTGAAATAATCAGCACACTTCTTGAGCAAATATGGGCATTGCAGAAGAGCAGCACGGATCGAACGCGAAGAAATGTTGTAATGGACGACCTCTGTACACACGTGCAACGACTCGCTGCCACTGACTCAATTTGATGCAAGATAATCATCGAGAAGACTCTAATCATCTCTGATCATGAGTCATTGAGCCTGGTTGAGTTAATCAGGTTGTTAAAGATCAATTAATGTTAATCTATGAGAAAAGAATAGTGGTTTAATCACGGGTTGATCGCTTCCATTTTCACTTCTGATTGGATTATTCTAAGAGGGGTTTTTCTGTCAATTTGTAATCATTGATCAGATGGTGTTTGTCTGCTGCAAGAAACATAATTTTATGAGCCCCCAGTATAATTTGAGTGTGTGGTTAACAAGTTCACGTACACAGGGCTTCTGATGTTCGGCCTGAACTCGGGATTGTTGACCTGCCACTATGTACTGGCACTTTCTCTTCAAATACACAACTACTGTTTGCTGTGTGACATGCGTGGGGGTGGACACTGTGTGCAAGCAGATCATCTATTCCTTAAAAACAACCAGGTTCAGTGAGGAGTCACAGAAAAGCACCCACAAAAACTGAAAGGATGGGTGCTTTTTTTAATCACATTCTCAATAAAAATGTGACATGATTTACTCACGATTAGTAATAACTAACAGTTAATGAACAATGAACACATAGCTTTAACTTCCCCTACTTAGCATAATAAGTGTTGTGTTAAATAAGGTCAATTACCATTGTAAACAGGTATAAGTAAGTGTTTATTTATTGATTTTGATATACTTTATTAATCCCGTGGGGAAATGGTTTCTCTGCATTTTACCCATTCTAGTGTTAGGAGCAGTGTGCTGCCATTTTGAACGGCGCCCGGGGAGCAGTGTAGGGAACGGTGCCTTGCTCAGGGACACCTCGGTAGCACTTGGTCTTGCCGGGACTTGAACTGGTGACCTTCCAGTTACCAAGCCAAGTCCCTATCGACTTCGCCACCACCGCCCCGACAAGCTTTAACTTCCCCTACTTAGCATAATAAGTGTTGTGTTAAATAAGGTTTAAGGTCAATTGCCATTGTAAACGGGTATAATTAAGTGTTTATTCATGTCTTTGTTCACAGATTAATCTACTCTTATGAAAAATCCACTACTGGTGTTTTACCAGTTAGTGAGTAAATCACAGTATAACATAGCTTTAATTACGTTTTATGATTTATCATTATACATGTAAATAAAAAATACCACATGCTCAGTTTCAGGAGTTTAAAAGGGACCTCTTAGATTTAGTCCGCAGACTTCATCCACATTTCAATGGATTAAACACTCCCCTAGGACATACTAATATTAAATACTAATACAATGAATTATTAGAAATTATTCGACCAATCATTCATTAGTTTACACATCAGTTATACTTCGTGAGTTATAATAGTTGACAAATACATAATGAAACAATATAATGGTGCGTAATTGTGTTTTAACAAATCATACATTTAGTGTTTATATTTTTATGTAAAAACACTAAGTGGGGCCGGTTTAATTTAAGTATTTCTGTTGACAATTGTTCTAATTTTGTTCGACGTTGCATAGTTAAACCGGATGATTTCACAAAATACATAATGATCCTGGAAATGTAAATGTTGAGGCACTTTGTGTTTTTAGGTTGATCAAATTTGCATTTATATTAAACCACTTAATTGTTGCATTTCACTTTTAACTCAACCTATAGTTTGCCTATCACATCTTGTAGTTTGTGAATGGCCCTTTTTTTGTCTTTATTCCTACCATTAACAAACACTGTGTTGTTCATTCTACCATTACATTCATTTTAAATTAGCTGAGCAATATTTCTAAATACTTAATGACCAAAAGAAGTTCCTCTTGTTGTACTGTAATACATCATTACGTGATGATTTCAAACCCAAGTGTCACTGTAGGTCTAAAGTGGAAAAGCTTATTCAAACCAGCTGCCTTTCCAAAAACAAGTGTTGAGCTACTCAGAATTGCATTTTCGCAAACAATAAAGTCTTTTACATAAAGGCATCACTTCGCTTAAGCAGGAGTTATTTCCTCTGCTAGTTATGCAGGAATTAACTCAGATTTGTAGGTCTGAATATGACTTTCGTAAAGTAGAAATACTACTGTGTAAGAAGACTTTGTAACAAGTAAAAGTCCTGCAATCAAACCCAAAAGTACAACATCATTTACAACATCACTTACTTTAAGTAAAAGTACTTATTTTACAGAAAGGACCCTTTTTAGATTACCATAGATTAGGGCTGCTCGATTATGGCAACAATCATAATCTCGATTATTTGGGTCAATAATTGATATCACGATTATTCAAAACGATTATCCATTGACTTTGGAAACATGCATTTATTGAGAAAAAAAGCATGTGAACAATATGTTTTTAACAGTTGATTACCCTGAACTTTAAGTATAACTCAACTGAGAAACCAAAAAATAAATAAATTAATAATAATAAAAAAATTATCGTTTTATTTCGATTACGTTGTTTTCGTAATCGTTGCAAGCCATAATCGTAATTGCGATTAAAATACGATTAATTGAGCAGCCCTACCATAGATTACACATCATCATTATTGATTCATTAACATATAAGAAGCATTTTAATCAAAAAGAAAGATCCTATATTGTGTGTCATAGGGTATTCATTGATCCAAGTGTATTTGTTTGTTAACTTTGTTTGTGGTGAAATGTAGTTCATAACATTTTGCTTAGTCTTGGAGTCTTGCTCCTATGTAAAAGGAACTGGGTCACAGTGTCTTATATCCGCCAATGGCCCCACATGAATGTAGGAGACTGTCTATCTGTGAAATATAGTGGAGTGGAAATAGAAAGTAGTATACGATAGAAATGCTCAAGTATAACTACCTTAAAAAATGGTCTTAACTACATAAAAAAACTGCTCAAAACTACCTTAAAAACTGCTCTAAACTAGAGTACTTCGGTATACTGTATGACTTTGGGTTTCCCTGCAGACACTTGAAGATAAGCTGCAGCTTCATTTGGTCTTATAGCTTTATAATGCAGCCGCTGTAAATCTGTGTGCATGTGATAACAGCATGCACCAGAAAGTGCTGGCTGTAACAAAAGAGCCGGTTTAAGGTGGTGAAGTAGTGATTTGGCAAAGGATTGAACTGACTTAACTCTCTTGGAGAAATTGTTTATCTATTACTGACAAGAGGACCCAGGAGATATGTCAGATATCAAACCACTATCTCTGGTAGAAAGAAAAAGAAACAACCCTGTGAATCACCATTGACGGCTTAGCTAGTTAACCATCAACCACAGAGACACTCCACCTCTCAGCACGAGGGAGAGGGCTGTCAGTCACTGGGCTCCTCTCTGACACCAGTGGGTCCCCATCAGCCTCCACTGGGACAGGTAACCTTGTTAGTGGGCGGAGCTAAAGGCCGAGGGGGGGTTAGTGGAGGTGTGAGAGGAGAAGAGGAGGGGGGGACGTTAGCTTCTTGGACAAGTCTTTCTGCCCCTCTGTCAGGTAGTTGAGAATTTGTTTGTCCAAAGCACTGGCAGACATGGACATGGCAGACTACAGCGAGGCTCTGGACCCAGCCTACACCACGCTGGAGTTCGAAAACATGCAAGTGCTCCCCTTGGGCGCAGGTGAGTCACATAAATGCAACCCTGGCGTTGAACTTTGAAACTTTTACTGATTTAAAACTTTGGTCAGGAGAGGACTGGCGTTAGGTGATAAAAAGGGGTCATCTGTCCATCCGGGGACGATCCCGAGCAGTGGTCTTCTTGTTATTTGTTTTATCACCGGGATAGTAAAACATTAAGGGACTTTGATTTACGAGAATCTGCTTTACACTCTGTCCATTTGGTCTGAAGCATGTTTGAGCTTGTGGAGATTTGAGACTGGATTTGATCTCTCATGATCTCCTGTTACAAACGGTCTGTTCCCACAGAGGTGAAAGGGAAGAACAAGGGGTTCACAGTGACACCAACATATTTTAATATGCAGTCTCCCATGAAGTCTGGCTGTGATCCTGACTTCAATTCCCACAAAAGGGAAGGACATTACTTACCACCCCTTTTTCTCCTCAGTTACATGTTTCTATATTTCGTGATTGATCCTGACATCTTTCATCTATACCATGACAGACTCTATGGTTGATTGATTGTCTGGTGAAAAAAACTGTCTCCGGTGATTGCCTTTTTTTTAAAGAGGCAATCAAGCCGACATCAATTACGCTCTGTTGACTCTGTGTGAGCCACTCACGTAGGTAACAGATCCTCGTGAAGGCTGGTTTTTAATCAGGCTGATCAATGTATTCACTATGAGTCATTCACACCTTCTCAAATCTGTCAATCAGAAACATGTGCCATCCAAATAAGCTTTTTGACACACACTTTCCCCCTGGTTTTGGTGTTAAAACTGACCTTTTGAGACACGTATTCTCCCTCTCTTAGACTCCTCTCCGACTGAAAGTGCCACCATGAACTCCAGCGGACACCTGGGGGTGGGCAGCCTGTGTGCCATCTGTGGAGACCGAGCCACGGGCAAACACTACGGGGCCTCCAGCTGCGACGGCTGCAAGGGCTTCTTCAGACGCAGCGTCCGCAAAAATCACATGTACTCCTGCAGGTGAGGACAGACCTGGGTTTATTTGACTGTGACTGAAGCAAAGCGTTGCACATGAAGCCCTGCCATACTGATGTGTTTGTGTGAGTGAAAGAGAAACCAAATAATTAACAAGTTGTGTCAGTAAATTGGCTTTAAATACTGCAAGAAAAAGAAGCCGATGTCTTCTTGGGCTGTAACTTATCTACAGATGATTATCTTGACTTTTCAATTAATCTTTTTTGCTTTAAAATGTCAGAAAAAAGTGCCAGTTAAAATCTTCAAAAATGCAAATTGATGTCCTCAAACGTTTGACCAATGGTCTTAAATCCAAAGATTGTCAGTTCACTTTGAAGAAAATAATGAGATCATCACATTTTAGAGTCTTAAACCTGCCATTTGTGAAGCATTTTTCGCTTAAAAGACAACTCTTTCATCATCAAAATTGTCCCCAATTAATTTCCGGTCCAGCTTTTATCGATTTATTTTTTTTGCAGCTGAAATTGCTTCACTCCATGTTCTTTTTTGATTCTTTGACAGCACAAACAAACCTATTCCACTTAATTTCCAGGTTCAACAGACAATGCATTGTGGACAAAGACAAGCGAAATCAATGCAGATACTGCAGACTGAAGAAATGCTTCAGAGCCGGCATGAAGAAAGAAGGTAGGAGCCTTTTTTCATGTTTTCAAAGCAGGCTGACTGAATCTATAAAACTCAATCCATGTGTTTTGGTGACAAACACAGAAGAAGAGAATTTCCCATTAAATCAGCAAATCAGTGCTGAGTGTGTGTGAGCTGTCCCCGCTGAATTGACGTGACTCGTCTGAGTGTGTTGCAATCGAGTAGTACTTTGTTAATGTTCACTCGATGGAGCGCCAGAGTCTCTAACCAGCTTATGCTGAGCAAACATTTCCGGGCAATAATAGCCATATACTGATAAACATGACAACCTTAGAAGACCTATTTTTCTTCTAAATGACTCTGCGTTCCTGCACAGATATGGAGATGTCATTGTTTGTTAAGGCTTAAACTGCATGAAAGTGGCATTATTTTTCGCAACATAGCAATGATACTATAAATCAGTGTGTGTTTCAGCTGTGCAGAATGAAAGAGACAGAATCAGCACCAGGAGATCCAGCTATGAAGACAGCAGTTTACCATCCATCAATGCACTCATCCAGGCAGACGTACTGTCAAGACAGGTAAGACTAAATCATGTGTGGGAATCACATCCAACATGTGATTTATCACCTGCAACAAGGCATCCAATGACTCCACATCTGTGTATCTAGATCACCTCCCCTGCTCCTATACTGAACGGCGACATAAGGACCAAAAAGATCGCCACCATCACAGACGTGTGTGAGTCCATGAAGCAGCAGCTGCTGGTGCTGGTGGAGTGGGCCAAATACATCCCAGCCTTCTGTGACCTGCCCCTGGATGACCAGGTAAGACACACACACACACACCAACCCACACACACACAGTGTACATAGTTGTTTAGACACTGGTCACTCATCAACCAGTCAAAAACCATAGTGTGGCTGCAGGGTGCAGACTCTGAGGATATGCACTTCCCAAATAAATAAAATGGAGTAGAAACAAAGCAAATGCATTAAAAAGCAAGTCTCTTAAAGTTTCAAATCTCAAACTCCAAAACCAGTAAATGTATTTAATCCTGATTTAGAATATGATGAGCTGGTTTTAAATATATTTCCCTCCTCGGAAAATGAAGTGCTGAATCATTAACAGTGAGATCACCAGGCCTTAGTAACTGATTTGCTGATGTTGTATCAGTGAAGGAGCCGGTGTCTTCTGCCACGGTTTAAAATGTCTTCTTTTGTCAGTCCAAAACTCAAAGACATTCACTTGAGTGTGATATAAGAGAAATCCCTCTACTTGAGAGGCTAAAAACAGCATTGTCTGCCATCACAGCATGAAGATTACATTTACGTTTGATCAATTACAAAATAGTTGGCGATTATATTCTGTCAATTGGCTAGTCAGCTATTTGTTGCAGCTTTAATACAATACATACAACACCAAACTATTGAAAACATGTAGAGAATTGCAGAGTTATTATCACTCTAATAAGTAAATGAATGAACTGTGTTTCAGGTGGCGTTGCTGCGAGCTCATGCTGGAGAACACCTCCTGCTCGGCGCTGCAAAGAGGTCCATGCTTTACAAAGACATCCTCCTATTAGGTAAGACTGACACTTTAAGGAGTACTTTACCACACTCATATTGCCCAATTCTGTTACAAAAAGCATTCTCTTTTGATGGACCAAACAAGAAATGTGATGCTCCTGCAGGAAATGACCACATCATTCCCAGAAACTGCCCGGAGCTGGAGGTGGGCCGGGTAGCTGTGAGGATCCTGGACGAGCTGGTGCTTCCCTTCCAGGAGCTTCAGATAGACGACAATGAATACGCCTGCCTTAAAGCCATAGTTTTCTTTGACCCAGGTACTGCTACTGACTTTTATTTGGATTCTCTTAGCCACTTTTCAATCTCCAACATGTTCCAACTCATTAACACACTTCTCTTTGTAAACCCCTCTGATGTTTATTCGCCCACAGACGCTAAAGGTCTGAGTGACCCTGGAAAGATCAAGCGGATGCGATACCAGGTGCAGGTCAGCCTGGAAGACTACATCAACGACCGGCAGTACGACTCGCGGGGACGCTTCGGGGAGCTGCTCCTGCTGCTGCCCACGCTACAGAGCATCACCTGGCAGATGATCGAACAGATCCAGTTCGTCAAACTCTTCGGGATGGCCAAGATCGACAACCTGCTGCAGGAAATGCTTCTTGGAGGTGAGCTCTTTTACATCATGTGTAACCAACCATGACTTGAGAGGACTGTGGCTTTCTTTGTGTGGTTATATATGCTGCAGTAAATTAAGACTGACAGTATGTTTGTGTGTTTTGTCGCCAAGGTTCTGCAAACGAAGCTCCACACGCACCTCACTCTCTGCACCCTCACCTGGTTCAGGAGCATCTCGGCAGCAATGTTATAGTGACCAGCAACATCCCATCAGTGATCCATAACGGTCAAATCTGTAAGCAGAAATATGAAGTAAACTGTTGTGGCCTTTAAGATTCATGCTTCAGCTGCTTCCACTGCCCTTTACTGTTCGAAAACAGTTTGATCAGTGAAATCAGGAAGATTAATCTAAGTGAACTCAAAATCAATCATGTCTGAATGAACACAGACGGTTGAATCTCTGAGCTACATGTGCAGCCTGGTCGGGTAGCTGGAAGGACAAACAGGCTTGGCAGAATAATCCTCTACATTCTTCATGGAAACTAATCTGGCTTATTTGGTCAAAGAGAACTTCTGTTATTCTTTCTAAACATGTTTAATGCTCTGAGAAATTTCACAAAAGTGCTTATTTCTTTATCTGTGTTGCACCCAAATCATGTTCTCCCACAGAATGGTAAATATACACCTGCTTATGCGGCAGTTTTCTCCCTCTAAGTCACTACTGTTTCTTTCTGTGTTCCACTTTTTCAGCCACTCCTGAAAGCCCAATCCCGTCTCCACCTACTGCCTCCAGCTCTGAACATTATAAACTGCCTCAGGGGGTCATAGCCACCGTGCCCAAGCAGCCAACCTCCATCCCTCAGCCTACTATTACAAAGCAGGAGGCCATCTAACAGTCCTCTGAACCCTTATTCCTTCAGTTTTTTTATTGTCTTAAACCAGGGTTTTTATATGTAACTTTATACATAATCAGCATCGAAGCTGTTAACCTGTCTGAAACAATAAAGTTGCTTTATATGTAGAATGTAATTGCAAATATGTCCCTTGCAGATTGCTGTTTGTCTTCAGGGATGTATTTGTTCTCACATGCAGCTGCAGTTAAGCTCAGTGAACGCCAAACAAAACTCAAGGCATCAAAAATATCCTGTTGTTCTGTAAGGTCGATACATAAAAAGACGTCCATTGTTGTAAATATTTAGTTTATTATTGGGTAACATCACTTCCTTCAGCATGGCCTCAGTGTGTGCAGTAAGGCTCATGTTAGACGTGATGTCAGTATTTTATGAATGTTACAACAGGCCTTACATTGTTGTGTATGTAGTGTTGCACAGTATTTTATTTTATGCTCATTAGTGCTAAAAGTGTGTCAACTCGTTGTCAGGAACTTAGGAATTCTTCATTTTATCAAAGCTAAATGAAATCACTTGAACGACCTCATCTTTTATGTAACAGGATTAAAATACATTTGGTTTGTTTTATTTACTGGAAAATATATTTAAACAGTAGAACATGTAAGGTAGAAATAGTGAACTCTATGGTGCCACTTTGTAAAAGTCACAGGCAGACACACTAAAGAAGTTTCCCAGTGATATGTTGTAATGGTTTTGGAAAATATATATTATATTTTTTGTTTAGTACCTTGTCATGGTATTAAACTGTGCCTCATAACCTGTACTGCCTTACACACATAGCATTGTTTCGCCTTACAATGTGAAGATGAATTAATAAATCTCAAGGTCTATTTTTACATTGCATTTTGTACATTTCTTTATATTATCAATGTTTTTAAATGGGATAAAACATATTCTGACAACTTAATAAAGATATATGACACGTTGGAAAAACAATAGTCCAACGTGGCAGTGGTAGATCAATGATAGCCTCAGGTTGCTTCAGACTGATAAAGTGCCATAAAGTCATTAAAGATACTGTAGCAGTGATTCAAACAGAGGGAGGGGGGTACTAAGATATATCTATATTCCAGTTGAATAAGTGTAATATATTATCAATTATTAATGATTATAGTTCGTAGTTAATATCAACGTGTTGCATTTAGCATAGCTTACATTGACACAACACAAAAAGTGTAAGACTTAAGAATCAAAGTCACCATTAAAAGATATCAAAGATAGTATTTTTCTTTGCAAAACACATTTGAATACAGTAGTTAGATGTAGTATTTTTAAGAATTAATTTTGTAATTTTAAGTAGAAAGCATACCTGGCAGATCTTGAGACGTGACAGTGATAAATGCTGTGCAATATGAAGGCAAACTCTGCCACCTAGCGTAATAAAGTGTAGCCTACTTGAGCCATGTGATCCACAGGGCATGTCATCATACAATTAATTTACTAGAAAGAAATGGTCAAAAACAGATATAACAATCTGCAGGAAGAACAACTCCACGTAGTATGCATGGATTAAACTCTACCCTGCCAAAAATGGTCTATTTTTCTTTAAATGCCATCTCGCAAAGTGGTTACTGTAGTCCTTAGATTTTAACCAGGTATCAGTACTTTAATGATGGTAATGAGCAACATGTGATGTCCAAAGGCACTGACGCCATATAACAGTTGCAGTGTTTGTTTTAGCAAGTGACATCTTCCCACGTCAGTTTCATTTGTTAAATTACCAAACCAAGAGGCTTATAACACCCACTATAAAGGAACAATAAAATGTGTACGACGAGGTACTTTTTCCCAAGTTTTTAGTGGCTAGTTTCCAATGGGCTCTTGAATGCGGCATTGTCATCAAAACAACAGACGTAAAACGATGCGTAAATCTGGAACGCCCTGCGTCATCAGCCAATCACATGGACCAATAAGAGAGCACCATCCCTCTACCCGGAAAAAGGATTTTCCTGACAGGTCGGTAGTGATTATTTTTTTTTCCTGGTCGCAGCGTCTCTGTGATGCATTTTTATCTCTTACCAATGGATGCTCATAAAAGCCACCTATGTGTGTCCTAGTCGGTTAATGTTTAACGCATCTCCGGGTTGGTATTCAGTCCTTATTCTGACTTTAGTTGTGTCGCATCGGTTCTGCTCAGGATGCGGTTGTTTTAGCTAGTCTGTGTCAATGCTATACACAAACATGTAGAGATGCATGCTTTCCTTACCTTTCTGAGGTATCAAGAGACGTATAATTTCTAATATATGTTCTCCAGTTAAGGCAAAGTGATATCAAATGATGTTAACTATGTATGCAGCAGTGGAGGATGTGTTCATATCCTTTACTGAAGTACTACTAACAACTCACTGTGTACTATACTCCATTACAATTCAAAGTCATGCATTAGAAACCATACCCATTACTGCCCAAATACTATGATGAATATGATATGGCAAAAATCCACAGCACTTGTTGTGATTGGTCTAAAGACAGATATGATTTGGGCAGGTAACAGGAATTTAAATATTTTAGTTACAGGCACAAACGTACTGGTTGCGCACTGAAATAGTCCCTGTCAGTGTTTACTAATATATACGTTTTTGGATTAATATTACTGCTTTATTAATATGTATTTTACTGCTGTAGCTGTTGAAGAGTGTATTTACTTTAACTTTTGTTAACATTGTTGGTAGTTTGATCTAAAACAATGCATCATATCCTCGTCCTATTTTTGTCGCTGTTCTGTGAGAACCATAATTTCCTTAATACTCAACTCTTCATCCTTCTAATGAGTCTTTCTTTAACTGTTTTCATAGCCTCTGTGATCCTCTCTCATATACAGTATGTCTCTGTCCAATTAGCTTCACCCAGTCAGCCCATGGCCGATCAGCATGAGTCCATCGATCTCACGTCTCCTCCCGTGGACTCATCAGCAGCTGCAGGATTCAGCTGGTTCCCTGCGCCCCCCCCCACCCATGTACTCCTGCACCCTGACCCCCGAGCTGGTGCACAAAGCACGGGAGGAGCTCCAGGAGAAGCCAGAGTGGCGTCTGCGGGACGTCCAAGCACTGAGAGACATGATTCTGAAGGTACTCATATAAACATAATGCAATATCATTCAGTAACTGTTGAAGCAGTAAACAAGTAGTTTAGTGGAACCTTACATTAAAATACTTTATTAAATAACTCCAAAAGCTGAATTAACGTCTCAAACTCCTATGCTTTTTTTATTGCATATTTCATTTAATAAATCATAATAAGGCACTATTCTTGTACAGCTGTTAGTTTAGGAAATATAATGAACGGAAGAGAAACAAACTCATTACCTCTATACGTAGCACTTCAAAAGGTCTGAATAACTTGATGCCAATACAGTTGCATTGAGGTCTTTTGAAGGTTTATCTACTTGCAGGATTCTTGCTAATTTGAGTTGATGTCCTTATGGTTGATTGTACTTACTGTAGGTGGTTTTGGATGAAAAAGGTCAGCTTGATGAAGTGAAATGTAATACAATGTCAATCTTGTTCAATACATTCTGGGAATCCTAAATGGTGAAAGGGATTCTTATTTAATAGTTAATTTCAGCCCTAGCAGCTAATTTGTTTTCCAATTGCAACATGATGTTTTCGAACACATCTGGAACCCAGGAGAAGCATGTGAGTTTAGCATTGGTATTGGCGATGGTCTGCACTCACGAGGTGTATAGTGTTTTATTTCTGAACACATATTTTTTTACCTCACTCTGCAGGAGCAGCCCAACCTCAGGACCCGGCTGGATGACGCCTTCCTGCTGCGCTTCCTGCGGGCCAGGAAGTTTGACTACGACCGTGCCATGCAGCTGCTGCTCAACTACCACGCGGGTCGGAAAGCCTGGCCTGAAGTGTTCCAGGACCTGAAGCCGTCCACAGTGAAGCACGTCCTGGACCTGGGCTTCCTCACAGTGCTGCCACAGCCCGACCCCAGCGGGAGATACATCCTCTGTCTACGCCCAGGTGCTCCATCTTTATGTCACATCTGTCAAACAACCTCTGGTCACATGGGTTACGTTTGTCTACATTTGGCACCTTTCTAAAACGTCCTTCTGTGTTATTTTTACCAAATATGTTTTCTTATGATCAATGAAAGTTATATGGGGCTATGTGCTGTCATGGATGGTTGATGATGTTGTTTTTTTATATACTTTATTGTTTTAAGTGCAAAGCAAACTCCCTTCTAGACAATAACGTTTTATTGTTGTTATTCTTTATTATCAAGTAGACCTCACATTTGTATAATCTTTAAGTACTTACCCTATTACTAATTATTTATGAATTTAATAAACTCAACTCACATCTTCTTTTACAGGGAAATGGAAACCAAATGATTATCCGTTTGTTGACAATGTGCGAGCCCTCTATCTGACTCTGGAGAAGCTGATCCAGCCGGAGGAGACGCAGGTCAACGGTATTGTCATTTTAGCCGACTACACCGGAGTGGGCATGTCACAAGCGTCCAATCCTGGCCCATTCCTTGCCAAAAAAGTCGTGAGCATCCTCCAGGTGAGACATCTGATAGAAATCTAACGTCTTATATCCGGTGACACTTTGAAGGTGTTAGTATTAGAGAGGCCCTGTTATGGTTTTTGAGTGTTCTCTTTACTGTAGTGTAGGGCTGAACGATATATCGTGTCATATTCACATCGCAGGGACGTGCGATTTTATTAATATTTTTTTATTAACGTTTTTTTTTTTTTTTTTTTTTTATATTTTAGGACAGGATATTAAGAAGGTAAATTAACTCAAACACGTCATGTTACAATTATTTTTCTGCTTGCTACAAAAGGAAAACTTACGCGGCTCTCATGTCAGGGGTACTTGAGTGAGGGACATGCAGGCTCTGCATGCACAGCAAACCACCAATCACAATCATTCTTGATCAGATCACAGCAGGCCCCGCCCCGCTAGTTTGCAGACCATTAAAACACCGGTAAAAAATGAGCGAGGCACAGGAGGACAATACCGGCGAGAATGAAGATTTACTTCCAAAAAGAAAAGCAACATCTGAAATCTGGAACTATTTTGGATACAAAAAGGTTCTTCTCGTCTTCATTCACAGATGAACCCCCTTATTTGAGGGTAAGCAACATGCATTATCATGACATGTTAGATCATGACTTAAGGTATGATGAGTCAACCAGTTAAGATCCAGACGTCCGTGACTAAAATCCTTCATCGGGTTAAATATAGTTTTTTTCAATATCGTGCAGCCCTACTGTAGTGTGCTATATAGGTTTTTGTGCATGTATATGGTCTGCCTGAAACGCCTCCATTGAACTCCTTTGTTTACATCAGTAACATAATGACATCACTATGTTAGGTAGTGCTCCAACACGATAGATTAAGGGGCAGGACATCTATAAGTGGGTGACCAATCACAACAGAGTCGGCCAGCTAACCAATCAGAGCAGACTGGGCTCTGGTTTCAGACAGAGGGTGAAAAGAGGTGCTGCAATATGAGAAAAATAAAGAGCTTTTTGAACATTAAAGCCATAAACATGTTCCAGTAGAGGTAAAAAAAATACAAATATGAACCTGAACATGTGTATTATATGTCCTTTTTAAATGTGTTTATAAAATGATTGTAATGAAATGCCAATTTTTTCTTTGGAATTGATGTATGAATGCTGCATTTGCTCAAAATGTCACTCTTTTGCAATGACACAGTAGTACATATCAGTGATTCTGTTGACACTCAAAACCCTCGTCATTTACAACAGTGGCTCTTAAGCTCTGGCTGTTGAGTTTTGTCGTGACTGCAGAGTGTGTAATATTTACACTCAAATCACATCTGAAATGACAAGCACCAGCTGTGACTGTTCTGAACTTGGTTTCTCTTTTCATTCCCAGGATGGGTTCCCAATCAGAATCAAGGCTGTTAACATAATCAACGAGCCCAGGATTTTCAAAGGCATCTTTGCTATAATTAAGCCTTTTCTGAAGGAGAAGATGGCAGAGAGGGTAACTATTGTCCTTACATTGTCTCTGTCTCTTTTGTTTTACACAAAGGACTATTTTGAATTGTGTGCCTCCCTTTTATCCGCAGCCAGTCTATTTTCATCTGTGAAAATGGATGGTCTAGCATTTTCTTTTGGGGGAATGAACTCAAAATACCAGTTACACAAGCCTGTATTTTATAAATCTTATGAAAACATTTATTCTGGGAATGTTATGTGAGTTCATTCAAACCTACAGTGATTGGTTATTATTCGTTTGGGGGCAGAGAAGCAATATGTTTGCACAACACTGACATGTTTTCCCCTTTTTTAAGGTTTTTTGGCAAACCTTTTAGCACACTGTTGGTTATTTACATAATCAGCAGATACACAGCAACATGGACAAGCTAGCTTCTCTAAGATGGACAACAAATAGAAAAAGAAAGCCCGACTAGAGTATGATTGTTGATAACCTCCATGAATATGGAAAGCACAAACATATAGTTTAAAAATAGACACTATGTGTGGATCATTGTGCATGAGGGGTTTACTCTGTCCCAATACAATTATCTTTGTATCTTCTCCTTTTCACCAATCACCACCAACTCAGTCGATTTCACTTGTAAGAGGTGTATGGGTTCCTTTGAATTCTCTGAGGAAAAAGGGTAACAAAGAACCTTTTAGCAATGCTTTAAGAATTAGCTAAGGGCACACACTTCAAGGTCAAAGAGTTTTTCTCTGAAAATTCTTACGGGCATTTTTAGCAACTCATTTATCTTTATCTAATGCATACTTAGATACAAATGATAAGGGTGCTGTTAAGCCTCTAAAGGCTCCACTACAGTATGTTCACCTGGTAGCTGCTAACTGTGTCTGGCTGTTGTTGCAGATCAGGTAGTGATTTCAAAGAGTTTCCTATTGGAGTAAATCAGAACAACGCTCTGAAAGAAGCTATACATCCCTTATAAGGTATTGGGGGAACTGCTAGGAGATACTGTAACTATTTGTCGGTTCATTTCTATAACAGAAATATTGATCATAGCCACTTGAAATGATGAAGCAGATGACATCTCTGACTTGTTCTCTGTGCTTCTCCTCAGTACGTCCTCCACGGCTCCGACCTGCGCTCTCTGCACAAAAACGTCCCCTGCTCGGTGCTGCCGGAAGAGTACGGCGGCTCGGCCGGACAGCTGGACCTGTGTTCGTGGTCCAGGGTGCTGCTGGGCTGTGAGGAGGAGTTCATCGTGGAGTTCTGTCAGCCCGACCCACTAGAGGGCGTGGTGCTGCCAGACTCCATGCTGTTTGAAGGGGAGGCCAGGGGGCAGGACGACGACTCCTTCAGGGGGCTGCGCTCTCAACTCTACTACTGTTACTGAAACACTCTCTGAGAGGACTCCTTCTGTCTCGTCTGAAACATGTGTGTAGACTTTTAAAGGGCAAGTTGCCAATATCATACATGATTTATTTTCCTTACTAACTAACTTAGCAGCACTATACTGTAGGTGGAAAGTCTATTGTAGATCACACGTAGCCCAGCAGGCTCAGGCAAAGAGGCTTTTGATACGATGCATGTCCTCTGTGGAGTTATATCTGGAAGTTAAAGGATAGGTTCATGGTTTGCCATTCAGTTCACATTGAATCGGGTTTTGCCTGATTTCTTTCTGGTTTCGAGAATTACAAGACGACACTAAATACCAGGCTTTAAGAAATGCGACTGTTTTTACAATGACGGACCCTTAAAGGTAGGGTAGGTAAGAATGGTGAAACCAGCTCGAGTGAGCTAGCATTTGAAAGTATGCAGCCGAAAATAATCTGCCCCTTCCTTCAGACTTCCTTACAGAGCCCCTCCTCCAACACACACGAACGCGCACATGACCAATGAGGGCACGAGATAAGTTTGTGCACAGATGGAAGGCTGACAGGCAGGTAGGCCATCCAGTTGTTTTAGCCGGGCCGGCTCAGATGATTGGTCGTGTTTTTTACAGCGCCACGGATTCCACAGATGAATTATTTTATGTATTTATTGTCAAAGCACTTCATGTATTCATTGCTATCGGGATGTTGAGAGCATTCTATGGAATATAACAGAAAGTGTTTCTGAAGTGAATTACCTACCCCACCTTTAAGAGGTTAGCGGAGATGCTGCAGTAGCATCAGTTATATCAGAATTGGAGAGTATTATTTAATTGAAGAAAAACAAAAAAGCCTTTTCTAAATGTCATGGATGTTTTCAGTTTTTTCTCCCAACAGATAGTTTATCAAATCATGAGCCTTCAGCAGTACCAGTTAAGCAAATCATGTTGGTACTAAAAACAATGTCCATGCTACCATCTTGATTTGGCTAACAGGCTGCTAAAGCCTCATTTTGGATCTGGCTGAACTTTGAAAATACAGGACTGTCGATCTGTTATCAGGAGACAGAAACGGAGTCAATGCACATATGGGCATGTCTGTATTGTTTAAAAGTAGGAATGGAAAAGTGTGAACCTCTCCTTTAATTGAATCAAAATTAAACAAGTCATTTACTGGCCATCAGTGCTCTGTCTTTATAGTAGGCATCACTCCACAACTCAACATGTTTTGTGTAAATAACTGTCTAATATGTTGCCTTAAACTGTTGATTTCCCATGTGGTATAAATCATGTTGGATTTGTTTGTACCAAAGCCATATTCATGTGTTTTCTCAACCGGGCCTTCCTTACATACTGTAAGGGTGGATTTACTACAAATTGATGGCTGCTGTAACTGAGAGAACAATACATTAGATTTAACAGTAATTCATGTCTAACTTTAACACAGTATTTAAAGGCCTTTGTTTTGGTGATGCTTTAGTTTTCTTTAGCTTTGCCTTGTGTTTTTTTTTACTTTTGTTTTTAACTGTTTGCTCTCATCACTCAGTCTTAACACGGGACCATCACTGATCAAAGGAGTCCCATGAGGTATACAACCGGTTTGCCAAATTTCCCACCAGGCCATGTACAGAAATGTGCAATAATGTTAGATCTGTTTCCTCGGGGTAGCCCGAAGCTAACTTGTATATTGATTGTCTTTTATATTTTTATTTTGAGCATGTCTGTGACTATAAGATATATTGTGTTTCAGGATATTGCTGGTAGTAAAGACCATAAACTGAAACAGAGAAAGTCTTATTTGTGTCCTTTGTGAAAGATAACCGCTTAGCCACAGTCACCTAAAGTATAAATGAAAACACATTGCAACAGACTGGAGTAGTGTCACTGGTTTCATAGGTCCCCAAAGAGATCAGAAATGCAATACTGTTTTTTAAATGTAGATTTGTACTTGTGTAGAAGTAGTTATACCACAGTTTAAACATAGTATGCAAACTTGTACTAATTAAGAATATTTTAACACATTTAATCAGGCTGGCCAGGTGAAGCAAAGTGTATTTATTATAAGCATTATAAATTAACAATACTGTTTAGTAGTTAATTCTGCATAAGTGTATCACGTTTTATAAACATATTGTATGATTTGTGTGTAACATCTTCACATTTAAAGCGACTATAGCTGTCAGAAGAATGTATGTATACTCAAGTATCTTACAATTGTACATGGGTTATTGTAATCTGTTGCTTTCAACAACAACAGACATATGTTTACATATTTGCACAAAGAAATCAGAAGTATTTTGTATGCATCATGATTGTGTAACTATGAAGGCTCCTGAGGATCTATTTTTGGGCACACATGCATGTAGAGAGCATGCAGGCTTTATTTTAGCTCCACACAGCCTACACTGTTAGTCTGCCGTTTCCATGACACTGGTTTATTGAGCAATTCTGTACACTCATCGTGTTCTATATTAGTTCATGACAACACAAAAAGAAACAAGGCAGATCCATAAAAGGGGCACTCAACTCAAGTCAAGTCAATTTACTGGAATACTGTTCATCCTCTGGAAACATCTGTAATGTGTTTTTTTGTCTCTAAGAAGCTTTCCAATGTCCGGAAAGATAACCCTGATGTTGTTAAAGTGATGCCATCAGGGTTATCTCAGCCTGGGATCAAGCTTTTCAAATGTTAAACAGAAACACGGGCAGAGACAGTCTTTGCATTGTGCATCTCATATATCCTGATTATTTATGATTCACAGAAGTTTTGGATTGGACCTGAGATATTCTGAACTTTTACAAACTAAACAATCATTCAGCAAATTAATCCATAATGGAAATCGCAGTAGGGAGGGTTTCTCGTATTCCATTGCAATTACTAATTACCCGTAGAAAATGTAAGTATCAGATCATTAAAGTAACCCAATCCGTTTTAGTTACTTTTGGATTAATTAAATCAAATGCAAATAAAGACATTAAGAAATTTATTTCAGTCTGATGTTTTTCACTCAAAGGGTTTTCTGTGAGAAAACAGAGGAATTACCTTATAAAAGAAGAAATCAAGATGGTTTGTATAAAAAATGTGTCCTCTGCACAGGGTGTATTTAAAAGAAAAACCTGCCTTTCTTACACACATTCATGCAGTATAGTCTAATTAGTAGTACAAATCTGCGCAGAGAATGCTCCATTTTAGTTCAATAAACACAGTATATTAGGATCACCCACACTAGTTAACTTATTGTGCGTATTGTAACATTGTGATCCTGCTAATAATCCCCATTTTTTAAAACATGTACCAGTAATATGATTACAGCTTTGTAACTGCAAGGGAATACTTTTCCTTTTTGGTATCCTGACAACCCGCTACATGTGATCTGTTACACCCAAAACCTGAAGAAAATCATCGTCATGCAGTCCTATACAAACAGCATGCATACAACATGGGTAGTATGAATGCATGAGGAATAAGAATCTAACTATATGTATTAGTGTAACAGTCACAGGGGACATTGTCACAACATTGAGTTCTCTTGTACACATCCCTGATAATACTGACACACTTTTACCTAATGCAGCAAATTATGTAACAGCTAGTTGTGCTTTAAGGCTATAGTGAAGTAAAGGATCTGAATCCTGCCTTTCATAAAAACCAACATGAGGGAGATCTGGGAATTTCCTGCTAGGAAAATCTCCTCAGATGGGGTGTCTGGTGTTTTGATGTGTGTCTAAATAAAACTGCCTTGACATGAAAGCGACAATGATTCATCCCTTAAAAAAAAGACAGATGCATAATGTGTATAAAGTGTTTGATCTTCAGAGTGCAGTGTGCTGTTGGCTCCAACCAACAGAGGAGAGGAAGCCTCTGATTGGCTGCACACGGATAACTCCATTTTGGAAAACAGCTGTTTGAAGACACAACCTTTTCTCGTTGTTTGCAGACGGTACCCTGAGAAAAACACCCAGGCTCTTCACACACTCACACACCTCTCTTATCATCACAGGACTTTTGGTATCCACGCCATTGAGCTTCAGCTTCGGCCCCGTTTTGCTGCGTTTTTGTCCGACTGCCAGGAAACTTAACAGGAGGATCCATGGTGTTACATTTCCTTTGTAACAAGTGGATAACAGGAGGCGACCCAACCAAGGTTAGTGGCGATTTTAATATTATTTCCGCGGCTTTAAATGTGGATTTATGTGCACAAAAATTATTAATGTTGTAAGACACCATCCGCATGGAGCTGCAGAGTCACGAAGCGATAATTTTTCCTCATGATTTAAAAAAAAAAAAAGGCATTTTCCCAGGCAGCACCACGGCAGACAATGCATCTCCCTTTGCACAGCCACGCGTTGAATCTGTCAAAAATGAATCCCCCTCGGTGAATTACATTATGTTAATTACATTTTTCCCTCGAAAATGTATGATGCATTCAAGTACATCCATTGTGCCTGTGTGTATTGTGTGTGTACAGTAAAGGACTGGCATGCATGTCCTTCCCACACATTAGCTGCTGCATTCAGGGGAGCTAATGACAGCATGGAAAGCTTTTGAAAGCTCTCATCTCCTCTCTCATCATCTCTGCTTTTCTTCTCTGATAATGCACCCCTTCCGCCTCGTTTGAAAACAAATCAACTTGTATTTCCTATCTCCATTAGGGAATAAGGCAGTGATGACAGCATGAAATAACCTGGCGTCTGGGAGAACAAGGAAGGTGTTTGTCTTGTCTTTTTGTCTGGGGGAGATTCTTGGGTAATGACAGGGCTGCATGGAGATGGTGCTTAGAGATTCGGCAGTAGGAGGGAGGAGGGGGGGGGGGGGAGAGGAGAGCAGCCTGGGACCCCCCACTCTGCATGAGTGTTGCTGGGCAAGTGCCAGTGTTACTGGGCATGAGCACTGGTGGAGATAAACACTGGCTGCTCGCCTGCCTGTGGTGGTTTGCTTCACTGTCGCCTGGCAGGCTGTGTGTAACCAAAACAGATCTCAGGCAGTGCGGTGAACATGTAATCTATGCACCAACAGTTCTGATTACAATAAAGCACCAGTGTTGCAATACAGCAGACAGATGGTTTGTCGCATGTCTTGACAGGGACAAGCTCAACAAACAAGGGTGGAACTGAGGTTTGTTCTGATTTGGCATTTTATGGCGAAAGGAAGCTGTTGCAATTTGGAAAGAAAAGCAGGCAACCATGTGATTTTAGATCCAAAGTAAACATATAACCTCAAGGAAAAAAGCTAGGGTAATAGGTAGGCCTGCAAATGTCGAATATTTCGATATTTCATCTGATTACAATCAACAATCTTGATTTAAAAATGCCAGGCTGATGATTTAAAATAGCTTATTTTGTCTGATCAAACCTGTAAATATTTAGTTTACCATCATACAAGGAAAACTAACTAGTCTTCATTATTTCAAAAGCTAGAACTCGAGAATATTTAGCTCTTTTGCTTAAAAAATGATAATATGCTACTTCTTATAACTCAAGCAATGAAACAAAAACAAAAGCTCCACAAGTACTTTACATTGGTGGGAAAATAAAATGAGGGGCTTAAGCCACTTGATGAATTTAAGATTAAATTCTCTCCAGTCTGATGTCAGATATATCTTCCCCCCCCCCCCCCCTGCCTTGTCTCCTCTCTTTGCACGAGCTAACCAAACATGGTCTGTTATCATTCAAAATGGCCAAAGGGGGGGTGGAGAGCAGCCAGAACAGAGGGAGCGCAGCGATGCAAGAAAAACCTCTGCTACCAGAGACACACGTGCCCCGCTGACCTTGGACAGATCCCTGCAGAACCTTCTTAATCATAGTTACCAAATCAAAGCAAGAAAGAAAATACAGACCACCTACTGTTAACATTAAATGTGCTTATTTTAAAGCTAATACAGAGGCTAGTCCCCCAGAGACCTTTTTGCCTTATGCATCTTCTAATCCGTGATGCCGGTGGATCAGAAAATAAATCATGAGTAATTAGATAATACTTGTACTGTTATCTGCAGTGCTGCATGACCAACTTTCACCAACAACCCTTCTTCCTGCTCTCAGTAAATGGAAGTTAAAACTCCTCCCGCTGAAGGCTGCCAACAAAAACATGATTACCCTGAGAACATTCGGACCCCTGTACCCCTGGTGCCTGTAATAAGTATACACAGCAGGGAAGGGACGGTTACTGGGTGGTTGTTTTTCCGCAACTGGTCTTCAGATTTTCTTTTTCTTGCCAGAGTGCTTTAAAGAAGACCTTCTGTGATATGTTGTATTAGTGTTTTTCCAGTTTGAGAGTCATGTCCTTGTAATTGTAATCTGAGGCAGCTGGATGTAAAGCGCAGCACCTCTTTTCACCCTCTGACCCCATTTACACGGGAACGCAAATGCAAACGAAACGCAAACGAACCGAATACGATATCAAAAAGGTATTCCGTTCACACGAGACCGCTCGAAAGTGCTGGAGACGCTGTAGTACATATGCCGTGCCTGTAAGTGGCGCTGTACTTCCGCCACAAAATACACCAAAAGCAGCGAATAAGACTCCCGAGCATGGTTGCCTGGTTGCCTGGTTGCCCTTCTGTTTATTCTCCGCAGTGGATTTAGCAACATGTAGTTCTCCATGTCCACTTGTTGCTGATGGTTGTGGTAGAGGAGCTGTCGATGTTGCACTAACATCTGTAGCATGGTCAGTAGCCGTAGCTACTGACCATGCTACAGCAGTGAGCAGCAGAGGTGGGGAGAGGCGGGGCTATGGCTTCATCGTTATCAGGAAAATTATCGTATAGGACGTACACACTGAGCCGTTTGGCCCTCCAGAG